TTCGGTGCGGGATACCGAGGTCCGGAGGGGGGGGGGGGGGGGGGGCAGCCGCGCTAGCTTTCCGGACTCCCAACGCTCAAGTAGCCAGTTCTCAAGCCGGTACATTGGCACCGGGTGCTCGGTGCTTGGACGCCGCGTGCCCAGTGCTTACAAACCGGCACCCGGTACTAAACTCACCGGACGTAGGGGCAGTTTACCTAAGCTGTTAATGACAGTGCACTCTCCGACGTAGTGTGTTTGTGCTCGACTGGTCTGCGTGCAGGATTTATTGCAAATGGCCAAGATCTTCAGACTCACGCTTTGTTAACGTGTCTCGTCGGACCGACCAAGGTAACCTCCTGTGAGATAGATGCTCGTCGGTTAAACGGGAAGCCTTCCGTCCTGTCTTGAAACTAGCGGTCTTCTCACGACAGGAGAATCTGAACGGATTCGTCTTCTTTCGCTTCTTCCAGAATAATTACTGATAGTTTGGGCTATTTGCGGTTGACACGGGGACTGCCCACGTTGCCTCAGTCTGAATTCGTACCTTACGACGCCCTCCAACACGCAGCGGTCAGGCCAGGCTCCAACCTAGCTGGTATCCCCCTACATCAGCACAGAGCTGGTAACCTGCGGTGCCGGCACGGCACGACGCCCTGGGATTGTTACCCGAGTTTGGTCCATTCTCTACATCTACTGCTTGATATGTATGACGGACTTATAGGGAAGAGATCAATCTGATGACGTCGGCACAGCGTCGCCACGGTATGCCGTTCGGCCCGATGATCCCGCAACCCCGTCCGCTCCGTCAGACATCGCCCGTTCCCTCGCACGCGACCCCGTCCAGTCCCTCCGACAGACCCCACCCGTTCCCTCCGACACCAGCTCAACCGCTCCCTCCGACACGACCCCACCTGATCTCCAACACCGCGTCCCACAGACGCGAGACCGGCCGCCCGCCCGGCAGCCTGCCTCGGGGCCTGCCTCGAGGCCTGCCCACCCGGTCGCATGCCTCGGGCCGTATCAGCCGCAGCTGACGTCACACCGGAGACAGGCGTCGGCCGCCGATAACCCGTATCATATCTGGGCCTGTCGCCCCCGGCAGCCGATCCGGCAGCCGATCCCGGCCGCTCCCGGGGCGCTCGAGAGGCCCTCTGTCGCGCATCCGATCCGGGCAGCTCCCGGCGCTCGAGATGGCAAGAGACGCTCCTCCTCCAGGCCGACAACGGCCGCTCCTGGGGCGCTCGAGAGGCCCTCCGTCGCCCCTGCTATCCCAGCGGCTCCTGGGGCATTCGAGAGGTCCTCCGTCGCCCATCCGATCCGGGCAGCTCCTGGCGCTCGAGATGGCGAGAGACGCTCTTCCTCCAGGCCGATCCCAGCCGCTCCCGGGGCGCTCGAGAGGCCCTCCGTCGCCCATCCGATCCGGGCAGCTCCCGGCGCTCAAAAAGGCGAAACGCTCCTCCAGGCCGATAGCGGCCGCTCCTGGGGCGCTCGAGAGGCCCTCCGTCGCCCCTGCTATCCCAGCGGCTCCTGGGGCGCTCGAGAGGCCCTGTATCGCCCATCCGATCCGGGCAGCTCCCGGCACTCAAGAAATCGAGAGATGCTCCTCCTCCTCCCTCGGGCCGACAGCGGCATGGCGACACCCGGACAACGCCCGCGACGGTGTCTGACGTCGGCCTGACACGAGCCTGACACAGGCTCAACACAGGCTCAACACAGGCTTGAAAAGAACGTGACACCAAGTCTGGCAATGTAGGTACCGCATAGGCCTGGTGGATGCCTGTAGCAGGCTTGACACGGGTCATATGTTATAAGTGAAAAGCTTACAAGGACCAGAACTGGTTTGCTACGGGTCTCGAGCGACCTGGCACGAGCATGATACCTGTCGACCTGATACAGTCATGGAATGATCCTACACAGCCATGGAACGTTCCTGACACAGTCATGGAACGGTCACACGCAGCCATAGAACGATCCTGGCAAGGTCATGGAACGATCCTGACACAGCCATGGAACGATCCTGGCCAAGTCATGGAACGATCCCGACACAGTCATGGAACAATCCTGACGGGGTCAGGTGCTTCCTGAAACACCAACAGGAGGGCGCACATCGAACCGTGTCTGGCGTTCTCAGAATTACGCCACCACCGGTCGTATACGACGGATACAATGCCAGGGGCATGGCACGTCTGGCCGCGGAAGAAAAGCGGCTGAATTTCATCTGAACAATTCAAATGACGCACGCACTGGAACGTCACGCAGTTTACTTTCATCGGATCCGGTATAGCCGTTCCGCCTGTTTGCTTTCCGGTATGGCCGGCGGGCGCCAACGCTGTGGAACTGCCGTCTCCCATCGCGCTAGAGGTCACAAGCGGGGCAGGAGCACGCCTCTCCAGAAATGACTGTGAGAATCCATATCATGTTGAGTGTTCGAGCTTCTTCTTTCAGCACATCACTATGAGTTGAATGTAAATGATAAAATTGCTGGGATTTGAGCCGAGATAGTGAAAAACGTGATAATCTCTCGGAATCTACGCCTCGGAGACGGAGTGAAGGTCTCAGGGTGGCAAGAGTGAAGTCTCGTATGCTAACCATACCAGGCTCGACCCCGTGAGCACCACCACGGCGGCACAGTTGGTTTCGCCTCAAGAGACTATTTACAGGGCTTCTTTGCCGAACCAACGGGCCCATTCAGCGCCTTGACCAAGATACGCCAAATGAGCCTCCGACTGCTCCGTGCCCATCTGCTTGTGAGCGACACGGCAGCGGCGACAAAGCCCGCCTGCACGCTGTCGCCGACGTCCGGTCCGACCCAGATCGTGATGGAAATCGGGCTCGACGGGCAGCCCGCATGTTTTTGTCGCAGCTTATCATTAGCGCACGAAACTCCTTTACGATAAACGATCGCCTATCCGTCGTTTCTCGTGCCTGTGGTCCCCACTACGCAGGCGCGGAGGGAAGCTGCAGAAATTGCACGCGTCCGATTTCTGCTGCTATTAGCCTGTGGTCCCCACTGCGCAGGCGCGGAAGGTAGCTGCGGAAATTGCACGTGTTCGATTTCTGCTGCCACCGAAAAATGCCAAGCGGGAACGTCAAAACAGGTCCAAACCGGAATTGGGCAGCCACTCAGACTACGGTGGCGCTTTTCAGTAGGTGCAGCTCTACATCCCAACTTGTTCAGATCTCTGACGTTGGATGACTGCAGAAACCGCACTCAGGGTCGCAGCACCGGCCACAGCCATCACACTGTGCACCTCGAACAACCCAGACCCACCACAACTAGGTCAACAAAACGCGGCATGCCGTAACGGCGGCTCGGAGCGACGAGATGGTACGAGGGATAGCTCGATGGTAGGTGACGCCAATTAGTTCCGAAAAGCGGTATCTCCTCATGCCAGCCACACGACCAGACAGATTTCTCCACCTACCTACTGTGTGCACTCGAGAAATGGTATGCGACCGGTTTGACAAAAGCGCAATATAATATAGTTTGGGGAACAGGCGGCCATGTTCACGGAGCAATATTAAAAGAATCTGCCACCAAAGAACGCGTTACCCTGTTGGCCGCTACTGTAATTCAGCATATGATATTCATTGATCTGCGGTGAAACTGCTGCTGTTTCCGGAAGGACAGGTTATTCGTAGGATGAATGACAACGTACGAAACGAGAGATGCGCGGAAGTAAAAAAAAAAAACTAAATTGCTTTTGAGATCGTGAAAACCATGTACAGCAGATGCTGTGCCGATGATACAGGACGATTAGTATACTTAAACGGCCAATGGCACGAGCCCCGCCAAGGGTCAAGAGTTCACCAGGACGACACTTGTTAAATGGTTTTGTTCCGCGCCGCACCTATAAATTATTGAATTCTGAAGACCTGTTTGACCTGTTCGACATCCCCTTGCGACGGCGCTCAGGACAACACGGCTGACTGCGCTGTATTTTTGTAGGCACTAAAACGCAGCAGGCAAATCCGAATTTTATGCACCAGTCATCCATCCATCCACACACATCGCGGAAGTGCCATCGATTGACGATAATATCGCCGCCGCTCCATCCCGACTCCCTTCGCCGCAGGCCCGAGCGTGAGAAGCCAACAAACTATAGCCCGACCAAGCCAGCCGGGCGGCGCGTCTGCCTGCAGCCGCCACCGGTCCGTGACTGTCGACGGGGCCGCGTCTGGCCGCACCGGACCGGCCGGATCTCCGCCTCACACACGGCCCGACGTCAGCCTACTATCCTCCGATCATCCACCCATCCGCGGCGTCGGACAGCGGAGTCAGCCGCCTCACTGCGGCAGACAGCGGAGTCAGCCGTTCCGCTGCGGCAGACAGCAGAGTCAGCCGCCCCGCTGCGGCGGACACCAGAGTCAGCCGCCTCACTGCGGCAGACAGCAGAGTCAGCCGCCCCGCTGCGGCGGACAGCGGAGTCAGCCGCTCCACTGCGGCAGACAGTGGAGTCAACTGCTCCGCCGCAACGGACAGCGGAGTCAGCAGACCCGCTGCGCTGGACAACGAGGTCAGTCCCCCTGCCGGGCCAGGTGACGCGGTCAGGCCTTCCAAAGGTCAGGCAGCGGCGCCATCCCACATGCGACTGGAGTTCCAGCCGCGGTCCCACCAGCCGGCGCCGGCGGTGCGGCACGGTCGGCTCACCAGAGCGCGTCAGCAGGGCGGCCGCCACCGCTCCGGGGCAGGACGCCACTGCCGCTGCCGCCGCCGGCCGCGCCCACAGGATGTCCCGCGGCGGTGCGATGGCCGGCTGCAGCTGAGGGCCGGCGCCGTTCCGGCCGACGCGCTGTCCCACAAACACCGGCGGCCGCCGCTTTCCCGCCGGCGCGCCGACTTTCCAGCTGTCGGCGCGACGCCGTGCAGCCGGCGGCTCGGACGGTGGGGACACCGGCGGCGACCGGGCCCATCTCGGCCGGCACGCCGTCCCGCGAGCCGAGCCGGCCCGCTCCGGCCGCGGTCAGCCAGCCGGAACCGGCGGCCGCCGTGCTGCCGGCCGAGCTGCGGCACTCACCGTCTGGCTGCGGCTCCCACGAGTGCGCTGGTCCGCTCGCTGTCCGCTCCGGGCCTCGGCGCCGCCCCGAGCTGCTCCGGTCGCGTCGGCGGGAGCAGGAGGGCACTGCTTTGGCTGCCACTGCCGGCCGGCGCGCGCACGAGACCACCTGCCCGCAACACCGGTCCGCCAACTGCGTCCGACGCCGGCCCGTGTCAATGAACAGGTGGCCACTGACGTCACGCTAGGTGAGTGACGGCTAGAGACATCTAGCGGCTGTAGATGAAGCTTAGCTTGCGTACAGCGCAGTGGTTCGGAGCTGCAGGTACAGCGCGAAATAACTATAGCTAATTCATTTTACATCTGAACAGGGGTAAGGAAAGATCTCATGGCATCATTCTATGACCTGAAAATTCTGTTATCCAGCATGTAAAACCTTCATGGACGATGTTATTGACGGATAAAAAATATGCGCTAGCGCCTAGCACTACGCAGGACGGCTTCCAAGACTCGACCCGACTCCACGCAGGCCTCGAGTGGCTCTTACACCTCCATCGACACATCGCAGTCACTTTGGTGCGTGATGTAACACCCACGCGCGTGAAACATTGCTGTTATTTGCTCGTTCGTTTATAGGTTCGGCTTCCATGGGTGAAAGACGAACAAGTACGGGTCTGCGCAAATGGATAGCACAGGAAAAAGTGCGCGATAACTTGCGGGAGCACCCCCATTGCCTGACAATATACCATACTTATAGGGTCGTTGGCGAGGACCACTTTCGCGTCCACAGTGTTCAACATCAGTCACCGTGATCAATGGCATATTTAGCATGCGGTCTCACTGACAATACCGGTTGGCAACGATATATTCGAAAAATCCGGGACTTGCGAGCCTAACCCATACTCAATAAGCATTTGTCCCCCAAAAACATAGGGTTTGGTGACCTCGAACAGCGAATGGTTCGGATCACCTTACTGAACCTTCGAGATCTGCCTACACCGAAGTGGCATCGAATGAAGTACATCACAGACATCCAATCGAAATCAATCTATTTACGAGTACCCATGATTGCAAATAAAACAACTCAGAATCAGGAAGGATTCAACAAGCCAAACTGTTTCTCAAAAGGCATACAAAAGACACGAAGCACAGGATATTCTCACACAAAAGCTCTGCACAATACGAACGCAGCCTGACAGCATGCGACTCATTCGCTTATCGACAGATGGCGATCCACCAGCCTGCACGCTCGACGCAGCAGAACCCCCACATGTCATCGCTCACAACACAGGTCGCATGCTCATTTCACCCGCCCAATCGCTCGATAAAACGACTTCGAAACCGCGTGCACCTTCCCACATCCGGCGCATACACTTACGCATCAACATCCCCGCTGGTAACATATGCGTGTCCCGACGCAAGCTGCACTGTCAGCACGTGGGCAACACGGCGCGCCGCGAATCACCGCGCCCTAAGGCGGCTTCGCGGCCGGCTGCCCGCGGGCCCCCACCCGCCTGGGTCCCGCTCTGCCTGACGCCCACGCATCTCCCTCCCACCCACGGTCTCCGGCCTCCGGTCTCCGATCTCCGATCCCCGGTCTCCGGTCTCCGATCCCCGGTCTCCGGCCTCCGGTCTCCGATCTCCGATCCCCGGTCTCCGATCTCCGATCCCCGGTCTCCGGTCTCCGGTCTCCGATCCCCGGTCTCCGGTCTCCGATCCCCGGTCTCCGGTTTCCGGTCCCCGATCTCCGGTCTCCGATCTCCGATCCCCGGTCTCCGGTCTCCGGTATCTGCCACCTTGACATGACGGGGCGTTGGTGGCGCAGCGGTCCACGCCGGCGGCAGCAGCGGCAGCGGCAGCAGCAGCAGCAGCAGCGGAGCCGGCAGCGACAGCTGCGGATACACGCCCGGCCCCGCCACTGGAACTTCGGGCCGCCCGGCCGCGCTACCAGAACGAGCACCTGCGGCGAACGCGGACACGCTCAAACGGAGGCCACACTGACACGGCCGTCTGCAGAGCCGGCGTGACCAGGTCAGGCCAGGTCAGATCATGACCCGGCCCGGGGCACTGGCGGTCATCCGGCGTCCGATGCAACACTGGCAGCAGTCGGTCACCAGGCCGGGCATCACTGGCAATGGCTACATTCGACACGTGACAGGCGAAGCTCGCTCATGACGACTCAGCACTGGCAGTGGTTACTCACTGAATTGCGAAGTACTGACGGAGGTCATCTCCAGACGATCAATCACTGACCGAGGCAGCCCACCATCCGACGCAGAAAGGACGAAGCCCACGCCCTGGCAACAGCGCAAATCCCACGCCCCAGCCGGTGCGTCCTTGGCACAGGTCACGCAACATAACCAGCAGCAGTGTCGGCCCCGCACTCACCATCCGATGTAGCACTGGCAGAGGTTCTCGTGCGAAGCGGCCAGCTGGATCAGCCGGTCCACCTGGTCCCGCACCGAGAGCGGCACGTCGTTGCCGAAGTCGGTGCCGGTCAGCTTGTCGCGGACGCGCTGGATAATCTGCACGGCCTTCTTGTTCTGGGCCTCCGGCACCACGGCGTCGCCGTCGCCTGCAGCGGTCGGCGGGTGCCGGGGTCAGGCCACCGATTGGGTCAGCTTGGGTTGCCGATCAGGTCAGCTTAGGTCAACGCTCAGGTTAGCTTAGGTCGCCGCTCAGGTCAACTAAGGTCACCGCTCAGGTCAACTTAGGTCACCACTCAGGTCAGCTTAGGTCGCCGCTCAGGTCAGCTTAGGTCGCCACTCAGGTCAGCTTAGATCGCCACTCAGGTCAGCGGTCAGCTTAGGTCGCCACTCAGGTCAGCTTAGGTCGCCGCTCAGGTCAACGCAGGTCACAACTCAGGTCAGCTTAGGTCACCACTCGGGTTAGCTCAGGCCATCACGGCTAGCGGCTCCAGCACGGGCGGAGTGCAAGGGCTGGCGTTTGAAGCCGCAGAAACAAACCAACCACGCTCAAGACAGGTGAGATCCTTTCGGTCCGCTTCAGACCAGCTATCCGACGCGACCCACAAGACCACGACCCTAGCCTTCACATTTTGACACTTCAAAGTCGACACGGCTGTCAAAAGCCGCTCCCCGGCCGTCTGGCTGCCGCTCCCCAGCCACCCCGGAGGCGGCGAGCGGCGCGGCGGGGCCGGGCCGCAGTCCGCCGTACCGATGCGCTGCTGACCCTCGATGCTGCTGTTGTGGCGGCTGCGCATGGGCGGACTGCTGGCCAGGCCGGGCTCCAGCTCCGCACTGCCCTCCGCCGTCGGACCGCCGGCCGGCAGCGGGCGGCGCACCTGCTGCGGGCACGGACAAGAACCGGGTCAGGGGCGGGTCATGGATCGGGGCCGGGTCAGGGGCGGTCACGGACCGGGGCCGGGTCAGGGTCGGTCACGGACCGGGCCCGGTCAGGGGGTGGGCATGGATCGGGGCCGGGTCAGGGGCGGTCACGGACCGGACCCGGTCAGGGGACGGTCGCGGATCGGGGCCGGGTCAGGGGGGTGGGCATGGATCGGGGCCGGGTCAGGGGCGGTCAGGGGCGGTCAGGGGCGGTCACGGACTGGGCCCGGTCAGCGGGCGGTCACAGACCGGGGCCGGGTCAGGGTCGGTCACGGACCGGGCCCGGTCAGGGGACGGTCACGGATCGGGGCCGGGTCTGCCACAGACTGCCAAAGTACATGGCATATGGTCAATGAGACACAAGGAAAGACGACGCCACACCACACCACCATTCTGCCATCAACTGGCATGACCCATGACACCCAATACATAAACTGAGAAGGCCCATAGTCTCACACAACAGCGCCACCTTCCCCTGCCTCTCCAGACCGCCCCCTAACACAGACGAGCCACGGCGGGACGGGGTGCGTCTCACACACAACAGAGCAGGGCAGGCGTCCCTGAGCGCAGCAGCGTGCGTGGCCAAGGCCGGGGCGGCAGCAGGGAGCCACAGGCGGCAGGAGGCGGCCCCGGGCGGAGGGGAGGGGGGGGGGCGTCAGTCCCAGGCAGTGGCAGGGAGCCGCAGGCGGCGGAGAGCACCCAGGGGGGCGACAGGCAGCCCAGGCGGAGGCAGGCAGCCCCAGGGCGGCGGCAGGCAGCCCCAGGGCGGCGAAGGTGCCACGCTCACCGTCCGGGGGCTGTCCACCAGACGCCAGTTCAGCAGCGGGTCGTATACGAACGCCTCCAGCACCGCCATCAGGCTGTCCTTGTTCTTCCGCAGCACCGTCATCACCGACTCGCAGGTCATCCGGTAGGTGCCCTCGATGCCGGTCACCTGAGGGTCAGGGAGGGTCATCACCGACTCGCAGGTCATCCGGCAGGTGCCCTCAATACCGGTCACCTGAGGGTCAGGGCGGGCTATCACCGACTCGCAGGTTATCCGGTACGTGACCTTATGCTCTGGTCACCAACAGGTTGACACGGTTATATCGTGGTCGCTCTCTATGCAGGCCATCTGGACGTCATCGTAGCGCTAACGTATCGTATCGTATCGAAGCTCAGCGCTAGTGAATCTGCCATAACCAGCTACCGTCAGCCTCCCGAGCCATACGCACCACATTCCATTCCATTCCATTCCACCCCGATCGGCACGCCGAGAGCTCAGCCATCACATACCGATCGCGTGTCCAAGTCAGGTCTGAACCTGCCGCGATGAAATGTTCGCAGAGCACGACCCCGAAATGGGGGCATGGGGTACATAGTGCGAGGGGTGCGTCCGGACCATCTTACCTCTAAGGCACGGCCACCGAGGGGTGTGCGTCCGGACCATCTTACCTCTAAGGCAGGGCCACCCCCTGCCCCGTGCTGCGGGGTACAGGGAGCAGCGATGACGGTCGGGCCAGCTCACCTCCATGGGCGTTCACCAACATCCTGGTCAGACGGAACGGAATCTTCTCGGGGAACTTCTCGCGGGTCATGGCCACCTCGAAACAGTCGCCGAAGTCGATGTGCAGGATCTTGCCACTCATCCGGTCCAGCATCAGGTTGGACGGATGCCTGTAGAGAGGCGAGCTCAGAATAACCCGGCGCTTCCAGTCAGATCAACATGACATCTCGTCAGGTTAGTTTCAAAAGAGTATTCAATGTGATCTAACTGGGAGTTTCCCGACCACAGGCTGCGCGGCGCTGTTGGGACGGCTTGGACAGCGCGCCGAGCGTTCATCTG